TAAAGAGGAAGATGTGACTCCATCAGAAGAAGCAGATATAAAGTATACAGAGACTTTCAGAGCTCAAACAAATGCACTTCAGCAGAAGGAAGGTAAAAAACTGACTACACAATACTTGTCATTTATAGTTAGAAAACAGGTGGGAATTTTATAAGGAACTTTCTCGCTGTACTTAGATTTAACTTAAGGGCAGAACTAATGTTTTGCTGAATAACGGCAGGAGGAGTAAGGCTTTTGGACTAGCTAATAAAGATGTTTTAATTAACCTAATGTCACTATGCAGGATTTTTGGAGATGCATTTTGCAGGTTACTGTACCGGTCATCCACACTTCAAGTAGCTGGCAGTGAAAAACAAAGCAAACACGAACAAAAACTTGGCTCCATAGTTAAGGTTATCCTGAGTTTCCAGCTTCAGTGGTGGGGAGCAAATGCCTCTGAGCAGGACGAGCTGCAGGTGTCGGAGCCACTCTTCCAAACGTACGGTGTTAGGGCCGGGACGATTGGAAATGGCTCCTTTCTTATCACACTTTTCAGCTTCCTGATTCAAAGGTCACAAACTTCCAATTATAGTTATGGCTTTAGAAAAGTACAGCCCAAGAGTAGGGTAGTTTTTCTTTTGGGGAGAGGTGGAAAATACAAAAAAAACCCTTCTTTAGGGGAGATCTAGAAACTCTCAATCTCCCCAGAGAAGTGCAATCCCTGAGGCTCCTTTCTCGGCCCTCCTGCGCACCCGGCTGTGACCTATCTCTTTCCCTGCTCTAGCACCAGCCCTCCCCCCCTTACCCTGTTTTGCTATTATCTGTGTGTTTCTCACAACCCAACTGTACTGGGTTGCGATAAACTTGTACAGCAAAGTCCAGCGTTTGATAGAAAAGTGAACCCTAAGAGAAGCAGTGTCTCTAAAAGTGACAAATTGCATGTATTAAGTCCGTGTCTCAGGCCTTAATGGGAGGCCAAAAGAAAATGCAGCAATGTTATTAACGGTAGAGACAATATGGAGTCTAGAAGAGGAGAAGAAAAAGTTGAGCAACAAAGCTCCTTGCTGGGCTAGTGAGGCTTTTTCTCTTTGTTGTGCTCATCCAGTGACTGTTTCCAGCTATGCCACAGTTGACCAGATTTTAGCAGGAATGGGAGAGGAAGTTGAGAGCGAGCCCAAATATCAGGGGTTGGTAGAGGTGAGAAAGCACCGTGGTAATAGGCATTTGGAGGGGAAGCTGAACAGAAGAAATGAAAAATAAACGACAGGTATGAGGGCTGCAAAAATGTGTTGCAGGAGAGAGAGACCGACAGGGCAAGTGGCCTGGTAAAAGTGGAAGGAGAGTCCTGAAAAACTAGGCATGCACAATTGAGTAGCGAGAGAGCGTTAGTGAAGGTGAGGCGTCGGAGTGCATCTATGTTTTGTGATGCCTGGGAATTAAAGCAGAAGTTTGTAAAATTGCTAATGCTGCTTTAACTGCTAACCTCCATGCTCCGCAGCTGCATGGACCTGAGATGTGCTTGAGCAGCCCCTGCTGCAAGATACTGGCACTTTTACCTGGGAAGTGTAACATCTCTGTGGGAGCACATGAATTCTGTTCTCTTCTGTGGAGTATGGAAATACTTGTCCCTGTCAACGTGGCAAGACCGTTAGAAAGCGTCTGCACCTGGGGCCCGAGATGCGGGTTCTTTAGATAGCTTCTTGTTTCCTATTTGACAGCTCTGAAGTTGCTTGAAGTCTGAAAACGCTCCATGTTTTCTCTCAATTTCTCTCTGACAGAAATAATTACTTTCTGTTTTGTGAATCTGCATGTTATATAATCTAGAGAGGAGTATGGTATTCTTTGATTGTTTAAAAGATCAACAGTGCACAGCAGTTGCATTACTGGAATTCAAACAATAGATTCAAAGGGGCTTTAGACTATAATCGTTTTTTATGTATACTGTTTGCTTTCTGACCCATGAAAAGGCAGAGAATTTGCAATTACTCTGCCATTTTTCGGCCTTTAAACAAGCATTGTTAATATTGGCTAATAAAGCTGATGTCAAGGGGAATGCTTCACTGGATGCATGCATCTAGATGAGCATATGAGCAAAGAGACGGGAGCATTTCCATTGAAAGATAGAGTAGAAATCAGGCCTACTGGGATTTTGTTCTCAACTGTACCACAGACTCACCATACTACAAATTGGTTGATATTTTGCAAAGGGCCTAACAGTTCCTGTCCAACTGCCTTAATTTGCGCAGAGTACTTAGAAGTTGTCTTATAAAAAGCCCTGCAAAACTGCAAAGTATTTTCATTTCATTTGGAAGTGGGGGGCTGTGATGAAACTGAAGAACCAAAAATGAAAATCATTGTTTTTGAGCTCGTCTAACCTGACATGTCCGTGTTGTTACAGAAGAAAAGGAGACTTTCAGTTGTGTTCTTTGCACGTTCACCTCTCTCCGAATGTCGAGCCTTAACCGCCACATGAAAATCCATTCTGATGAAAAACCCCACCTGTGCCATCTCTGCCTAAGGGCTTTCCGTACAGTTACTCTCCTGCGTAACCACATGAACACACATACAGGTAGATGCTGTGTGCAAACTTTCTTCCTTTTGCTTGGTGTCTGTTGTATCCGACTGGCCATCCAAATCAGTGGTTCTCAAACTTTTCTTTTGTGGAGCACTTGAAAATTGCTGAGGGTTTTGGTGGACCACTTAGCAGACCACTTAATAAACTTTGTTTTTTATTCAACAAATCAAAGTGCACAACTCAGATTTGAATATCAGTAGTCTTACCTTACAAGTACAGATATTCTTGATTGTTCCAGATCCTTTCTGCGGGCCACCTAACAGAGCTGGCGGACCAGTGGTGGTCTGCGGACCACCGTGTGAGACCCTCTGTTCCAAATGATTGCAAAAGCCATATTCTGGCATCAGTCCGCATTCACAACTCCCACTAGTTTCCTTGGAAGTTGTGTGCGTAGGATGTTGAAAGGGCACGGCCTATTGACGTATATCGCATTTGTGTGGAAAAATATGGATTTTAAGCAAGGAACCATTTTCAAACTAAAACCTCTCATTCCCGTACGTGTGACCTGGTCTTCCTTCTTGAATGTCTGTTGACCTGTCTCTTCCTTTCTTCATATTTAAAATGGGTAAGTCATTAAGCTTTGCGGTTCACAGAATCATAGAAAGTTAGGGTTGGAAGGGACCTCAAGAGGTCATCTAGTTCGGACTAAATGATTCGAAGCATCATTCCGACCCTAGAAACTATGAAACTATGAAGCAGGACCATCCCCGACTAGATCGTCCCAGCAAGGTGTTGTCTATCCCGGTCTTAAAAACCTCCAAGGATGGACCTGCCACCCCCTCTCTGGGTGACCTGTTCCAGTGTTTCACCACCCTCCTAGTGAGAAAATTCTTCCTAATATCCAGCCGAAACTTCTCTTGCTGCAACTTGAGCCCATTGCTCCTTGTTCTGTCATCTGCCCCCACCGAGAACAGTCCAGCTCCATCCTCTTTCAAACCCCCCTTCAAGTAGGTGAAGGCTGCTATTAAATCGCCCCTCAGTCTCCTCTTCTCTAGACTAAATAAGCCCAGTTCCCTCTGTCTTTCCTCATAAGTCATGTCCCCCAGCCCCCAAACCATTTTTGACGCCCTCCACCAGGCTCTCCAATTTGTCCACGTTCTTTCTGTAGTTTTAATAAAAGAAGTATTTTGAGACTTACGAGCTTATCTTTTGTATAAGTTAAAATATCAATGTTACAGTACTGACTTTAATATTGTATCAAGGTGTAAGTGCTGATTTACTGTAGACAAATGATTTGCCTTTCAGTACAGTTCTAAAAATGGTATATTCTTGCAGGGACCAGGCCATATAAATGCAGTGACTGTGACATGGCATTTGTGACCAGCGGTGAGCTTGCACGACACAGGCGTTATAAGCATACTCTAGAAAAGCCCTTTAAGTGCACACTGTGTAAATACTGTAGTGTAGAAGTAAGTGCAGTCCTCCTGTGTCTTTGAGCGGTATGTGTATGTTTCCAAGAGAAAGGCCCTAATCTGCTGGGAGCTCAGTGGGTTTTTACACAAATAGGTAAAAGTGGTTAACCACTGAAAAAAAGGTTTCCCTTTTTTTCCTGTTGCTTGTGTGGATCTTCCACAAAGCAGCAGGAGGGAGAAAGGGAAGGAGAACTGTGGACACTAAAATTGGGAGGGTGACTTGGGGAGGAGTGTTGATATTTGAAATCACCACTAATTTGTTTGGTGAAGTGGAGCAGGCTTTCAGTTAAGCATCGCTATGATATAAGGGGCATTTCACTAATGATTTTTATTTTCAGGCAAGCAAATTGAAGCGGCACATCCGCTCACACACAGGAGAGCGTCCTTACCACTGCTCTCTCTGTAGTTATGCTAGTAAGGATACCTATAAGCTGAAAAGACACATGATAACTCATTCAGGTAAGTCTTTGTTATGTCACATGAATCATATCTATTTTATGCTAGGACTGCTTTTTATTAGGACTCATTCCAGCCTCTCAAACTTGTTGCAACTTTGCGTGGCCAGTTTTTCTCTTCCATAGAGATTTGTTATCCTACTAAAAATATGAAAAAAGTGCCGTTTTAAAATTGTTGGGATTTTTTTCAGCGCTATTTTTAAGAATTTGAGCAATAAATTATTGTAATAGTTTATTTGTCTGGTTTTTTAAGCCAAGATGTTTTCGTCTGAGAAGTATGTTTAGCATCTGCTTGGGTGTCCTTGGCTCCGTGGACCAAGTTTTCAGCTGTGTACTACATTTAGTGACTTTTACACAGCGCATCTGACAGCCGGGAGGATTAAAAAAAGAAGGTCATTCCAGAACGTAGGCCTTATTGCGGCCTAAATTGGGGCTTCCCTGTAAAGACCTGAAGATTAGAAAATATGCTAGAGAGCAGGACTGAGTTCTTATCAGTGTTGGCGATACTGCGTTTTCCTTTATTCATCATAGTAAACAGCATGAGAGAGGAATGAATTCAGAATTAATACATTACTAAAACAGCTATGCCAATGGCCCTGCACCATTATTAGTTCTTCCTGCAGCTTCTGTTGGCCAAGGTTGTTTGCCAGAATCACCTGGCAGCTAGTTTCGACTTCAGGTGTGATGTTAGTAAGATTCTGCAGAGGCACAGGGGTTCATGTTGCTGGATCATGGCTGTTGGCACCTGTAGGATGCTGAATACATATATATGCACACATGTAACTGCTAAATATTTATTAATTTGCAACCCTTCTTGCTCTCCTGTAGGTGAAAAACCATATCAGTGTTATGTTTGTCAGGCAAGATTCACACAAAGTGGCACCATGAAAATCCACATATTGCAGAAGCATAGTGAAAATGTACCAAGACATCAGTGTCCACATTGTGAGACAGTTATTGCAAGGAAAAGTGACTTACGTGAGTTTGGACTTAAGAAAGAAACAATCAGTGTGAAATCCGTAGGGAATTAGCGGTAACATTAATGTCACGTTCTTACAGTTCGTACTGCTATCAGAAGTGTAATACTTTGACTGAGTGTCTATCAATAACTAAAGTATTTCCCAGAAAAAGAACTCATTTATTTCATTAGGTAACTTTCTCTTGCTTAAGAGGTGTGGTGCCATCTAGCGGGTGAAGTATATTGGTACATTTGTGATGCTGAACTGTAGAGATGATGTTAACCTGTAACACTTACCTGCAACGTTACCCATCATGTTTTAAGAATCCATTCTCTACAAGGGCAGAGGTAGGTAACATGTAGTCACTAAGGGTGTTCATAGACATGCTGTGGGGGGCGCTTGAGTTAGCGCAGCTCCGGGAGCCATGCTGATTTAAAGTGCCCAGAGCATCACATGTATGCTGAAAAATGGCAGTGGGGTGCTTTGAACTAAAGCTCCTCGAATGAGCAAAACAAGAACGAAATCATGCATGTTTTGCAAGACTCGTCCTGGATCAATAGTACAGAAAAGCATATTTCTCTTGCTAGATAAACTTGTAACCTTTGTTTCATTCCTGGATGCTCTGATTAAAGCGTTATGTACAGTCTAGACAGATCCATCATATTTCAACCCAGAGAGAAAGTTTTATTGCTAGATACTCTGATTACAGAATTGCACGCACTTCTACCATATATAGAAATGACAACTTTTTGTTCTGTTTGAGTAATGCTGGAGTCCGCTCGAGTGCGGTAATTTCCACGCTCCAGCAGACTCGATTCTAACGCGTCGGAGCAGCCTCCCTGCACGTGTAGAGAAGCCCTAAGTACTGCTCAGCACTCAGTTTCCCCGCACCACTTGTACAGCCCCTGAGTCTGTGCTTCTCCCAATCTGGGGTGTAAAATAAAAAAGGATGCGTTAGTCTGGGTTCGAGCTGGAGATGTAAAGATCAGCTTTTACTCTGGCACTTGTGTCTGTCCTTGACCATTTTTGTCTAACTTGAGAATTTCTGAGTGCATGGCCATGGATCTTGAAATGGTACAAACAGCCCCATCCTCCTCAATTCCAGCCCATGGGCCAGATCCAGCCAGTGGTCAATATGCATGACAGCCCTGCTTTAAACTGATGAATTATTTTCCGGTTTTCTAATATGCGTGTGACAAGTCAGATGATAGTACACAATGAATAGAAATGACCTCTAACTTCTTAGCTCTTTTTTCCAAGAAGCAGAAAGTGAGCCATTATATTTCAAACATAAATCAATCTGGTTTAGATGCATAAATTCTGTATGTTGCTCATGGATTTTCTCCTTCATCTCTTAGTAATATCGTTATGGTAATGGTGTATGTACAGGTTATATACTTAATATAAGGGAAAATTGTCTGTCATGCAGACCAAAATTGTTCCAATTTATACAAACCAACATGCTTTTGTGAGAATTATGATAATACTAACTCTGTAAATTACTCTGCATCTGAAAAAGTACTTCATTCACATACCAATAAAGGTATCAGAATTCATATTTTTCACCTCTAATTTGATGCTTTTTTCCTAGAAATGTGAACATCTCAGCAAAATAAGGTTTCATTAGCAAATCACTATACTATAAATAAAATTTATTTGTGATGGATAAGTTGGTATAATTGGTAATTACCAGCAAAAGCTCTACAGAAAAGCCAAGATTTTCAAAGCTGCGAGTCTAATGTTGGGGTGGTAACTGCATATTTAGGTACCAGGTAGTGTCTGTCTGCTCGGGTGGTTAATATCCCACAACTCTTTTTAAGGTTAGTACTGTTTGGGTTTTTTTGCAAAATGCCATAGACTCATCATCAAAATGTTGTGTACATAGACATAATTTGATAGGTTCCCAGTGTTTGTGCATGTTGGATTGAGTAGGAGGGGGGCAAGTTTTAACAGGTAGTTAGGTACCCAAACATCCAGATATAGACCTAGTGATCTGCTCAAATGCACCTAAGCAGCAAACTCCCAGTGAAATCAATTAAATACCCATGTATTAAACTAGAAACAGAATAGATGTTCAGTGTGGAATGACTGTTGATTTTATCTTTTTTCAAAGAATGTCCCCTAGCAAATGCCAGTTGATCAGCAAAAGACCCCATATGTCTGCAGGTACCAAGTTACAATAAACATCACTTGGTGCTAGACTTTCAAAGGAGCTTAGGTATGCAACAACGGGCATGGACACGAGTGACATTGTCATGCAGTCGGCCCCCTGAAGCACTCTACAGGCATGCACAGCTGCAGAGCACTTTAAAAGGGCCGGATACCACAACAATCTGAACCTCATTACATGAGGGTTCAGATGAAGGTGCTCTAAAGCAGAGTGCTTTCGTTGACTTATGTCAGCACACGCCAAGAGCAGGGCAGCCCAGCCCTGCTCCCAGCACTGTCTTCAGAATGGGAGGAGGGGAAGGCAGCAGAGGGAGATCCATCTGGGGCTTGCCAAAACTTCCCTGGGGGGTGAGGCAGATGGACTGGAGGCCTCCCTCCACTCCCTGTTGGGTCCAGGGTATCAGTGTAACTCATGGCACTCCATGAGTTGCAGTGGGGAGCTGCATGTCTGTCAGCACCCAGTGAAAACAGATGCCTGTTAGAATTTTTAAAAACACATGGGCAGCCTAAATGCTTATTTTTGGTTCAAATCAGTAGGACTTAGGCATGCAATCTGTTTAAACACTTTGTTGAGCCCCATTAGGTGCCTTTCAGCATCTTTGGGTGCTTTTGTTTTTGTAGAAAATTTGGCCTTTGTGCCTCTTCTCCCATCTCCTGTTACGTAGTTCTTGACTCATAAGTTGGTGCCAATAGTTGTGGTTTCAGCTCCTCTAAAGGAAGCATGAGAGATTCTTTTTGTATTTTCTTCCGGGCCTGTGCATAGTACAGCACTTTCCCCTGACACAGAATTAAAAAAAATATGTATTTTCACCTATCCAAGTCCTGAACATAAAGGTCTCCAAAACTGTTTTAGGTGTCCACTTACGAAACCTGCATTCCCACCTGGCTGTGGCCTTGAAGTGCAGTTACTGTGAAGCAGTCTTCCACGAGCGCTACGCTCTCATTCAGCACAAGAAAACGCATAGAAACGAGAAGAAATTCAAATGTGATCAGTGCAGCTATGCGTGCAAGCAGGTATTCAAATTAACTGGGGTGGGATTGTTTATTCATTTGATGCTTTCCTGAGGTTGGTTGGCTTTGAGGATGTATTTCCTTTGATCATCATAACATTATACTTCCTTTGATCATCATAAAATTATTTGTAATGACAATATAAGTAAAGTACTTTCAGTTATCTGTGCAAGATAAACAGTTCGTAAATGAATGATAAAATAGTAATACAAGTCTTGTTGCTTATGATAAATCTTTCATACATTATCTGTTTGGAACTAGAAAGTACAACCTATCAATATTCGCTCACAGTGTAACAAAAATAAAATACTTATTCTTGTCTTGTTCATAGCATTCAGCAGTACATACAAAATAATTTCAAACTAGACTGAAACATCTAAAAAGGAAATGTGTGCTATTTAGCATTGCATGATTTAGACACTATGAGGAAAGATTGGGAATAGGGTATAGAAGGAATTGGGTATAGAATATTGTATTCTTTGCCCAGTTCATTTTCAGTATTAGTGTTTGACCCCTAATCTCATCATTCACAGCAAATTTCAACCTATATCTTCCTGATAAGGCCCAGAGCTTTAGAAACATATTCTGTAGCTTTGGTTATACTCTCAGCAAGACTAGGCTTCATTGGGCATCGGCCAAAACAAACCTGACTCGGTATCATTGGGAAGTGTTCTTGGATCTTTCTGTTCCATGAAGTAATTTTTCTTGCATCTAAAAAAGCAAGGACTAAATCATTATGCATGTTTTGCAAGACTTCCTGGATCAATAGTATAGGAAAGCGTATTTTTCTTGCTAGATAAACTTGTAACCTTTATTTCATTCCTGGATGCTCTCATTAAAGAGTTATGTACAGCCTAGACAGATCCATCATATTTCAACGCAGAGATACAGTTTTATTGCTAGATACTCCGATTACAGAATTGCACGCCGTTCAACTATATATAAAAATGACACATTTTTGTTCTGTTGGCTTGAATTTAGGAATCTGTCATGGTTAAAGATTGAAATATGCAGGCTCTGTTCTACAGAATATTATTTGTTCATCAGTGTATTAACCCAATTAATGCCTTTACTTTAGTCGCATGTGAAGTGGCATTTATATAACTAATACACATGAGCACTGTTAAAATCTTCACAGCCAAAGTGCGAACTGCTTCCCCAGTCAAGATAGGCTCCAAAGTGATCTCCTCTCTAGAGTTGGTTGAAGAGATACTTCACTGTTCCTCTAGCTCCAACCCTTCATAGTCCTACCCAGATCCTGATGAAGCTTTGATGCATCCGAATAGCAGCACCCAGTTGCAGATGCTACACTTCTCTAGTGCCTGGGCTATTACAGATTCCTTAGCTTCCCCCACCACCAACTCCTCATCATGGATCTGATGCTTCAGTACCTGCACCAGCTGCTATGCCAAGACCTGGTGCACCTGTTACGCCATCCTGTCCACCGGTATCAAAATCTTGCTTTCCCAGCCTCTGTCAGTGCTGATCCCAAATCTGCCAGTCCCAGAAACACCGACTCTGAGCAGGAATGCAGTTTTGTTTCTAGATCTGCCCCCAGCCCTGGGAGCAGTCTTCTCAGGAGACTTTCTGTAATTCTGAGAGTGACTGATTTTCTAGCGGGGGCCTTAACTCACCACATCTCTGACGATAAAAATAACACTTTTCAAAAGAAGGCCAAAATAATTCACTCTTGTCTTGTTTTTATGGAAAGGTGTTTTTTTTTTGATCCACCCGTTCTTTAAATCACTGAGAAAAATAACTTGAGATAACTGACATATTTGAGAGACCTGCAATTTTTTACTATTTAAGGTAAATTGAAAAATTGAAGGAAATATAAACTAAGTGTTGGTGGGGCCCCCCCTTCACCTTTGCTTTGGGCTCTGATTATTTCAGGTATCTCTGAGATCATGCGGTAACACCCTGGTTCTAGTCAAGTCACTGGAGAAGAAAAATCCTGCTCTTTCGATTTTGCTCGCTATTTGTGCATAGTGGAGCAGATTAAGGACCATCTTCGGTGTTTTGCAACATCTTTACACTCTAAGGGTGCCTGTACACAAGCATGGAGGCTGCTCCAAAACACTGTAATTACAGCACTTCAGAGCAGGCTTGATTAATCAAGCCTGCTGGAGCGTGGTAATCACCATGCTCCAGCAGCCTCCCGTGGCTCGTGCTTCAGTGTCCCCACACTTCAGTTAAGCCTGTTTGACGAGCTTTAGTTCAAGTGCCCTCTGCCATTTTAAAGCGCGGGGACACTGATACACGAGAGCGCTATGGCACGTTAATTAGAGTGGCTCTCAGAGGTGCTCTAATTAAAGCACCGGCCACACACACACCTCCGGAGCATGTGTAAAAGTGTCCTAACTCTTGCCTTTGCCGGTGTATGTCACAAAGCTACCTGGAGTTCTGTTTTAAACACGCTTCTTCTCTTTGTTTTAGGAACGACATTTGATCGTGCATAAGCGCATCCACACTGGCGAGAAGCCCTTCATTTGTCTGTGTTGCAGTAAATGTTTCCGACAGAAGCAGCTTCTGACTGTTCATTTCAGGAAATACCATGATTCTGATTTTAAACCAACAGTTTTTGAGTGTCCTAAGTGTGGCAAGAGCTACTCACGCTGGGTAAGAGTCTTCTTTTAAGGGACCCCGATGCAGATAATTTTAGTTAAGTGCTGTGTGTCACACTGCCGTAAGGGACGGAGAGTAAGAAACAGTCTCCTGACTGAACTGTTAACAGTTAACTCCTTGCTGCCAAGTCCACAGTAATTTCTCTCCAGACCTTGAATGAAAGAGTTAAAACAGATCCAGTAATTTATGTTAAATGGGCAAGGTGTTTCATAGATTGGTACAGCGCAAGTTGTGTAATGCATGTAATCTACTGGGAATAATTGAAAAAGAGAATAAGAAACAAATCCCTGATGGTAAAAAAGGATAGACAGAAGAAACTAAGAAAATATGTGAAGTAGAAAATGTAAGGAATAGTTCTACAGTATGAGTAGGAAAATAATAATCCTGTTCCTATCAGTAAAGCTTGTATCTCTGCCAGTGCAATTACCACAGAGAATGTTGTACGAGACCTATCACTGCTGTGGGACTTGGGAATATAATTATTTCTCAAGCCTTCAGAACAGGCTTTCCAAACCTGATATTCTGTATGTAAAACCATATTGTTCATGTGTGAATCCAACAAAAAAGTAGTTGTTGCCCATCTTCAGTATAATGATTTAAATGTAAGAGTTCATAGTAAAAAAACTACAGAAGTTTGATAAGTTGCTGATATGATTTAAGTTTTTCTAGTTTTCCAAAGCTTATTCTTTAAAACGTTGACATGTTTGTCTTTTTGCATTTGAAAGTGCATTAATACCAGAATCATATGTATATGTTTTATTATCCTGACAGAGTAACATGCATAAGCATGCTGAAACCTGTGGATTTACGAGAGCAAACGCTGTTAGATCCAGCAAAGGAAGCAAGGGTAAAAAGAAGAGATGTAGGAGCCTAGAATATGCTAAGCAAGAAGGTAATCGGTTAAGAAGTTAGAATGTAGTTGTGTAAATTAGAATTGCCGATAAAAGGCGAAAGCAATGAATTTCCTCCTGCAATTTAATTAATGTTTCACAATGAAGCTAATTTAAGTGATAATAATGGAAGAATGTTTCAGAAACGTGTGTGTGTGTGTGTGGTCCCAGTCATCTGGGGGGGGGGGGCATTGCTCAGTTGTTAATATTGGAGCTATGGTTCACCTGCTCCCACAAATCTCCCAGTCTCCCTGCCCAGATGTCACAAATGGTTTTTCTCCTTCTGTTAGGGAGGGTAGAAAGCATCACCACTACATAAGCCACTGCAGGTTCTCCCCTGCAGAGTGTTGCATGTGCAATTTGACAGCGCAGTCTGCAATTTGACAGAGTCCAGACTAAAACCTCGGAGCTGGTGAAGCCAAGCATCTCCCATTTGTGACACTTGCACTGAAGTATGGCTGGAAAGCTAATGCATCTGGGTTGGTGATAAAGTTACCATTTTAAGAGAGCTGTGATTCTGCAGGACAAGATGGTAGCCATCACAAGAAAGCTCTGGTTCATCACATCACTGCCTGCTTCATTAGACCTTTTATTAAGCACATGTAGATGACACCTTGCTTGCTCTGTTGGCAGGCAGCTGGCTCTGATGTAGGGATAATGCCCTTGGGATACCATTTCACAACATGAAGGTTGTTAGACTGGAGCTTTTCCAGGTTTGATGAATGTGTATCTATGTGAGTTGTCAACAGGTGGGTTTACCACTAGCAACCCACTCACTGGCAAAGCAGCAACGGTTGTTGCTGAAGATTTGAGAAATGCCTTATTCTTAGAAATAAATGGTTGTAGTTGTGTATCTGCAGTACTTAGACTTTTCTGCTGGTGTTGTCCACATGCTATATGAAAACTTCTCTGGATCTTGAGGAACTCTTGGGACTGCACTCTTCCTCTTTCCCTGCATCACTTGCCTTCCAGATATTGCATATGATCACTTACTTAAAAGAATTTTAATTTGTTTGCTCTGGTTAAAAGTTGGTGTGGGGTGTGTGTATGGTTGATCATTTGCTGCTGTTGAAAATTAATGGAGACATTAAAAACAAATCCCGTATGCCGTGGATATGAGAAGTATGGTGGTATCCAGTTAAATAGGACCATAGGAAAGTAAGGCTGGAAGGGACCTCTTGAGGTCACCTAGTCCATCACCCTGCCTTTAAGACTGTTTAAAATAAAAGATACTGTGATACACTACATAAACTACCATTCCATTCTTAAATCCCCTACAATTAAAATCTTAAAATGTAATTTCCCCTACAGACTTGCTGCCCCTTACAAAGCACAGAATTTTTGCATAAATTCTTCTAGTATTTAATTCTTGCTGTACTGAATAATTGTGATACTTTTCTTTCCTGCCAAGCTGTTGATCAGGGATCATTCCAAGACGCTTCCATTATGAACATGGAGGATTGTGGCACTGAGATTGTTCCTGTCACATATGACATAGAAATGACTACCCCAAGGGAGCAGAAAACAGAAATGACATGTGAAATGCTCTTCAACACGATGGACAAATAAAGCATGTTCTGGTTTCTCATTGTTGCTACTGCACAGAATAGCAGTCTGCAGCCTAGCACAAAGTTTGTAAGCATGTTTAGGGAACCAAGCTGCACCAGGTACTAGTTTCAAGGTCCTCCTATCTTTTTTCTACCATGATATACTGCACATCTTTGATAGAAGTTGCTAGAAAATGGTCCTCTAGAGTTGCCATGTGGTCAAACATATTTGCATGAGTCTTGAGGAAAAAGCACAAATTTTCCAATTAACTGGAATTGGTTTCCGTTTTTGTCATTGATCTTCCAGATTTATTTGCAGAATTGCCTGCAGATTTTTATTCCTCACTAGTTCTGTTCTTGTCCAGTTCAGCACTTCATCATATTTACACATGCCTTGGTTGAACACGTCGAGAAAGGCAATATAACTCTGATGCAAGAATCATTCTGAGGATCCGAACAGTCTCTGGCTACTGTTGTGTAGTTGGCTAAAAGCATACATTTTTTTCAAAACCTTTGAGCTGTGCTAGCCATCTGAGAACCTTGTCAAAAGTGTGTTGTAATATCATTCTTTTTACAGTACACTTTTAATATGCTAACTTTAAAGATGCTTCCAGTAAAGTATAAGAGAACCCATACAGCCAAGCCTTGGAAAGCCAAGGGCCAGCTTCCTCTTTCATGTATCTTACACAAGCGTAAACCATTGATTTTTATTACTCTTGAGATCATATGGCAGTATGAGAGGAAGCTCATACCCCTGTGGTTTTTGGTTGGTTGTTAGTACCTTACAGCTGCTTTGAGATTTTGTGCAAGAAGCTGTAATAGAGGTAAAATAGCAAATAGTTGGTGTTTTATATTGTTTTGTTACCTTTTTATCACTTGTTCTTTTTTATTGTTTGTATGATTACAAAAATGATTTTGTACACCTGATCCAAGGCTCACTGATGTCAGTGGAGAAGCTCCCATTAAATTTTAAGAGCTGTGGATTGGGCTTCCCTAGTAAGGTATGCTTGTGTTCAGAAATGGTGGGGAGTACTTTTTAGAAAAAAAGAAAGCATTGAACACATCACTTTAACCTGTTTGTAAGAATTGTTGTTTGTATACCAGTTTTACTACTTAGCCTTCACAATTGATAAACATGTTAAAATGATTAGTGATGGTACTATTGATTGTTACTGTTAGTTGACTGAATACAGTTACCATTGCTGCAGTAATTAATTTTTGCTGTCATTTAAAAATACTCTTTGAAAGCTTGCTCATAAAATTTTAAATTTCTACTTTCAAAATATTAAAAACATTTTCAGAATATTTTTCAGTGCTAATATTTTTGTTTTACTGTTCATGATAGCCAAGTACCAGTAGTGCCATACAAGGCGGGTCATATAATGAACAAATAATTTAATCTGAATTTAAAGAGTGCTGCATGGTTGGATTTAATAAGTATTTCAAAACTTACGGGCTTTACTTATTCAAAATGCCATTGCCAGAGCTCCGTTGGTTTTGTCTGAGGAAAAATGCAAAATTTGGCTCATGTTAGTTGTTTGTTGATATATTTCTAATAATTAAATTAAAAGGCAAGCATATTAACACAGAGTGACATACACCATGCACAAACTGATACCCCACTTATTTTCTGCATGTAGCCAAGGACAGTAAGATTCCTCTATGTATTGTATATTCTGTACAATACTGTACAGTAAACTGTATTTTAAGCATTCACATCTTAAGCGACTCTTAGGTGTTTTGGTACTTTTAGGAGACAACACATGAATGTTCAGTTAGTACATTGTATTAATAATTCTGTCCTATCTTTTTGTTACGTGCTATTTATAATAAGTTTGCTTCTAAAGTTAGCAACAGCATGACTGTAAAATAGGGCCCGTTCTGTGATATGCTGAGAACCTTCAATTGCTGTTGAAGCTGAAGAAGCAACGTATGGGTGTTCAGTCCTTCACAGAAGGCGTCTGACGCCTTGCAAGACTGGAGTATCCAGTTTTATAAGATAATGCTGTCTGAGGGCAGGACCAAAGTCCTTACACAACCCAGTACCAGTAGATACTTGGATAATGGAGCTGAGACCCTCTCCAGTTCTGTAACGTAAGTATTTTAGAGTCACTGAGTAGAAAGGGCACTTGAATTAGTTAACATCACAGGTTGGTTTTCCCCTCATTCCTTTGTAAAATGCTATATGGATCTTCCACATCCATAGTTAGCATGTTTGGGCATTTTCCCTAATGGTAATGTTTTACCCATTTCTATTAAGCTCATAGTTGATGCTGATTACTTGAGTCTTCTAAAAAGACTTAGATTATAGGAGTGGTTTTCTTTCTATTTCATTTTTATTACGAATGTTTGAATGATATTATTGGCATAATACATTTTGAAGTCATGTTGACAGTTTAGATCTGAAAATCATAGCATTTGGTTTCTTTTAATAAAAGTTGTATGTTGAAGAAACAATTTGACCATTTTCCTGTATATAAATTGTTATTTTGATCTGCAGTAATTACCTGTTTCCTTTTTTTTTTCTTAGCCTACATTGGAAAAATCAGACTGCCTACAGTAAAACAAGATCAGAAATAGCAATATGATTTGCTAGTTATTGACTAAAAAATATCAAGTTAAGCCATTTAGAAGTCAAAAGTGATGTATTCTTTGGGAGATTCTGAAATCCCTAGCCTAATTGGGTTCCAGATTTCACTGGAATTTCACTTGTTGTTTTATCTAAAAACCTGCAGCATTGAGGCTTTTTAGTAGGCTGGTGTGAAGCAGCTAGTATTCGCTTTGGATTTGGATTCAGGGGGCAACGATTCGATTTGGGTGATTTGAATTGATCCTGAATCTATTTTGCCAAATCTCCAAATCAGAGGCCCCATCCCCCACCTGCTTTCCCAGCCCTGTCAATGGCTGGGCTGCCCCGCCCCCGCACCCCCGCCCTTTTAAAAAAAAAAAAAAAAAAAAAAAAAAGCCCGCACTTACCAGTTGCTGCCAGGCGTGGGGGGTTATCCCCACTGCCCCCCATGGCCCCATGCTGTATGGGGGGCTCTGCCATGAGCCCCCAGAAGCCCCGATGGCTGCTGCAGGAACTGGTGAGTGCAGGGCTTTATTATTTTATTTTTTTAAGAGCTGGGACCTGGGGCCAGGCAGGGCAGTTATCAGTGGGGCTGGGAGAGTGGGTGGGAGATGGGCACTCAGAGGGGCTGGAGGAGCAGGCAGGGGATGGGGCTTGGCAGGGGTCCCCCCATTGTCCCCTTTCCCCTCCTCCAGCCCCCCCCCCCACTTACCGGCACAGAGTCCAGGTCCAGCTCCCTGCGGCAGCCAGTGGGGACTGCCCAAATCTCCAAAGCTCTCCTTGTTTTGCATGCGTTTGGGGTGGGAGGCAGGAGTGCGGGAGAACCATCTTGTTTCCCTCCACAGATCTCCGGTCTCACATCGGTTTTTAAAGGGCCTAATATTCAGGAGTCACTTCTTAATTTTAAAGTGGCAGCTTTGCAATTGCAGTTTTTTAAGCAGTTGTAGCCCCTTCCAGAGCAAAGCTAGAAGATAGATAGTAATTTGATTTGAGATTACGAGTTTGTATGTCTTCAAATAAGAGCCTGCGACACACTGGGGGTGCATGCGATCCACATGCACCCCCTGAGATCGGCTGTGCACCTGGTGGAAGTGCCAGTTGCAAAACTGGATGTGCCACTGGAAGTGCCACCTGCCATCTAGCCTAAAACATGCCCAGCTCCCTTTAGAAATGCAAACTGTCTGAGGGACAATTTCACAAGGGGAAATATTATTTGCAAAATTGTTATGCTACATTTATTGTGAAACGCATCCAGTTTGGAATAACTTAAGCACCAGTATTATAAATGCTTATGAGATACATTAGCAATGTAAAATGACAAAGCGCCAGAAGGTGACTATTGGTGTATGAGAAAATTCTTAAACTGTTCTTCACAACTTTTTTTTAAGTAAATGTTAGAAACAGAGGGTTTCTGCATAAGAAAAAGTAGAATTTATGAAGTCCCACAAATGTAATAAATGATATCCTCTTTAAACAGGCAACATGAACAGAAACATCTGCTTCGACACCAGCATATGTAACATGTTATCCTCAAAAGATTATAGGGAACAAGAGGTTCAAAGAAATGGTTTTTTTTTTAATTGTACACCAAGCATAAAATGTTATCTAAGACCTGGAAGCAAGACTTGCTTCCATCACATTAACATACAAAATATAGGGCTGTGGGAAATCAGATTCAGATAGGTCCAATAGACTGAAGTCTTTGCCAAATGGCTGTAAAAGGATTTGTTCATATGGAAAACTACCTAGTTCCATTGTCAGAAAAAATAAAAGGCTGGGGGTTTTATCTCTGAAAAAAAGTCCTTGCACAATTAAGCGCTATGCTGGATTTGGTTGAAGTAATGATAAAGAGTGCCCTTAAGATGGCAGCAGACGTATACTAGTTAGATGGCTCACTTCAGGAAGGACAAACTGGAGTTCTTTCCAGCTTTGCTTTGCTTTAACTCTTATGTCTGGCTGATGTTTCCAGTCTGCATTAAAGCTACAGCAGGAGTTTGCAGAGACATCTTGCCCCAGGCGAGCTCCATAATCCCTGGGGTCTCTAGGAGGTGCCGGCTCATCATGTTCCCACTACTGAGCTCTGCCTGTGGCAGCAGGAAGCAGCCAGGGCACGTGCACAGTCATATGGGTGTGAAGGGCGAGCCCTTCATGATTGTGCACCCCACGTGTTAACTCCCTAAAGACTGTGCAAAAGCGGTTGCCAAGAAAAAACAGTGGGTAATGAGAGAATCAACCTACTTAAGTCTTTGCTGCAGCATCACTGATCCTGTTGCCTTAGTAGGATTAAAAAAAAAATGTGGATAATGAGGTGTGTTAGAAACCCTCAGGCATCAGGACATTAACCATCCACTAGCTGCCTGGGGCCAGGAAGAAACTTGTATGTAGCAATTTACTCCATAATTGCCCATTATGTGGTTTCCTGCACATCATTTTGAGGCATATGGTAATGACCACAATTGATGACAGGCTTCCCACTAGATGGAACGTAGTTCGATTCACTGCCGTGATTATTATATTTCTATATTTTTCTGACATAATCCATCACTTTCAACAGTGAAAACATAACCAAACCCTGATTCACCGCTGCAGTAGGCTAGTTGAATTAAGTGGCTTTAAACCAGTGAAATATTGGATTAATGCAGGCCCTGGATGGTTAAAGTATAGAGGTAGTTTAGTCTTATTTTAAAACTAGTTTTTGCTTGTT